CCACACAAATTTTACAAGAATTTTCTAACTAACAGTTGGCGTATTAGGCACCTCCTAATCACCTCCTCGCACGTGATATTCGCCTGATATGAAATGTGTAAAAATCTAAGACGAAGTTTGGGGTTGAAAGATGTTTGTGGGGGATGAGAAAAGATCTCCACAACCATCATGTTCTCCTAGTAGCCAGATAAATTTTACAAGAATTTCTAACCGATACTTCGTGTATTAGGAACCGAAACACCTCCTGGCACGTTACATTCTCCTGATACAAAATGTGTAGAAATCCAAGACGAAGGTTGGAGTTGAAAGATGTTTGTGGGTGATGGGAAAAGACCTCCACTACCATCATGTTCTCCTGGTAGCCACACAAATTTTACAAGAATTTTCTAGCCGATACTTCGTGTATTAGGCACAGAAACACCTCCTCGCACGTTATATTCTCCTGATACAAAATGTGTAGAAATCCAAGACGAAGGTTGGAGTTGAAAGATGTTTGTGGGTGATGGAAAAAGACCTCCGCCACCATCATGATCTCCTGGTAGCTACACAAATTTTACAAGAATTTCCTGGCCGATACTTCGTGTATTAGGCACAGAAACACCTCCTCGCACGTTATATTCTCCTGATACAAAATGTGTAAAAATCTAAGACGAAGTTTGGCGTTGAAAGATGTTTGTGGATGATGGGAAAAGACCTCCACAACCATCATGTTCTCCTGGTAGCCAGGCAAATTTTAAAAGACTGTTCAAACAGATACCCCGGTATTAGGAGCTAAAACAGCCCTCCGCAAATTATACACTCCTGATACAAAATTTGTACAAATTTAAGACGAAGTTTGGCGTTGAAAGATGTTTGTGGGTGATGAGAAAAGACCTCCACCACCATTATGTTCTCTTGGTAGCCACACAAATTTTACAAGAATTTTCTAACTAACAGTTGGTGTATTAGGCGCCTCCTAAGCACCTCCTCGCACGTGATATTCGCCTGATATGAAATGCGTAAAAATCTAAGACGAAGTTTGGGGTTGAAAGATGTTTGTGGGGGATGAGAAAAGATCTCCACAACCATCATGTTCTCCTAGTAGCCAGATAAATTTTACAAGAATTTCTAACCGATACTTCGTGTATTAGGAACCGAAACACCTCCTGGCACGCTATATTCTCCTGATACAAAATGTGTAGAAATCCAAGACGAAGGTTGGAGTTGAAAGATGTTTGTGGGTGATGGAAAAAGACCTCCGCCACCATCATGATCTCCTGGTAGCCACACAAATTTTACAAGAATTTCCTGGCCGATACTTCGTGTATTAGGCACAGAAACACCTCCTCGCACGTTATATTCTCCTGATACAAAATGTGTAAAAATCTAAGACGAAGTTTGGCGTTGAAAGATGTTTGTGGATGATGGGAAAAGACCTCCACAACCATCATATTCTCCTGGTAGCCAGGCGAATTTTAAAAGACTGTTCAAGCAGATACCCCGGTATTAGGAGCTAAAACAGCCCTTCGCAAATTATACACTCCTGATACTAAATTTGTACAAATTTAAGACGAAGTTTGGAGTTGAAAGTTGTTTGTGGGTGATCGTAAAAGACCTCCAGAACCATCATATTCTCTTGGTAGCCACACAAATTTTACAACAATTTTCTAATAGTTAGTTGTTGTATTAGGAGCAGAAGCACCTCCTCGCACGTGATATTCGCATTCGCCTGATATAAAATGTGTAAAAATTCTGGCGTTGAAAGATGTTTGTGGGTGATGGGAAAAGACCTCCACAATCATCATGTTCTCCTGGTAGCTACACAAATTTTACAAGATTTTTCTAACCGATACCTCGTGTATTAGGAGCCGAAACATCCCCTGGCACATTATATTCTCCTGATACAAAATTTGTAAACATCTAAGACGAAGTTTGGGGTTGAAAGATGTTTGTGGGTGATGGGAAAAGGCCTCCACAACCATCATGTTCTCCTGGTAGCCAGATAAATTTTACAAGAATTTTTTAACCGATACTTCGTGTATTAGGAGCAGAAACACTTCCTGACACATTATATTCCCCTGAAACAAAATATGTAAAAATCTAAGACAAAGTTTGGGGTTGAAAGATGTTGTTGAGTGATGGGAAAAGAGCTCCACAACCATCACGTTCTCCTGGTAGCCACACAAATTTCACAAAAAATTTACTTGCCGATACTTCGTGTATTAAGGGCAGAAACACCTCCTCGCACGTTTTATGCTCCTGATACAAAATGTGTAAAAATCTAAGACGAAGTTTGGAGTTTAAAGATGTTTGTAGATGATGGGAAAAGACCTCCACAATCATCATGTTCTCCTGGTAGCCACACAAATTTTACAAGAATTTTCTAACCGATACTTCTTGAGTTAGGAGCAGAAATACCTCCTGGCACATTATATTCATTCTCCTGATACAAAATCTAAGACGAAGTTCTTTCAACTTCAACTTAGCTTCATTATAATAATCATGGCGTCAAATTCGTTTTTCTTCAAAAGAGCACACGGTATGCTCAGGGCAAGATAAAGATAAGATATTAGCAGTGCTTTCTCACTGAATGTGGTCCTTTTTCCACCTTGTGATATTTGTATATGCGCTATTATATTCGTTGTGGCTGGCCGGCCGGCTGTCCGCGTGAGATCTCGGGAACTACAATAGCTAGAGACTTCAAATTTATGCTAAAAGCTTTCTGCTATAGTGTAGATGTGCAGGCACTAGTCCATTTTTAGTTAGATTATTTGTGAGATCGATAATTGAAGAAAATAGTTTCGATATGGTTTTCGGAGGTGCTAGAATTTTACCGTTAGATAGCGCTACCAGTATAAAAACTTATTATTTACTTTGTGATTTGTTTTACAAAATTAAAGACGTACCCTCAATTGAAATTAAATAAAATTAATTATTTAAGGCATCAAAATTACTCGTGAGATCGATAATTTTAAACTTCGCTAATTAAATGCCTACTGACCTGCATTATCAAAAATGCGCTTTAATAATGCATATGCTGATTTACAACTTGTTTTATGCATATTCTTTTTCCCCTTTTCTTTTTTTTGTTGGAAATAAACACTAGTATTATTATTATAAAATTTAAGAAGATATTGGAATTAGACGTACCATGGGAAACATCTACACGACCTCGGGCGGCGAAACAAAGAACAATGGTAATAAGAAATCTACTACAGAAATTACCTTACCAAGCAAGGAAAATAATTGTGCTTTGCCATTGGTAATTGGAGCACAAAATATCAACCACTCCATGTAAATTAGATAATTAAAATTGTATAGTCTTGGTGAATGCTGTATAAGCAACTTGAGGAGATTCTAGTACACCAAACTTGAACCCTAAAAGAAATTAAAGGTAACCACGTTTAAGAAAATCACATTACCGTAACATTTGTCAGTAACCCAAAATCCGATCCCAAAATAAATAGCTGCACTGCGTCATAATTTCTAAACGAACCAAGTCATAATTAAAAATTTCCAATAAATTCCCGGATTTCAATCAAACAACAACAAAAATCTGTACATATTTCCAACATGCTAACCGTGGCCAATTAAATTGCTTTTTTTCTTTCATTCGATTTATGTGAAATATTTCAATGAGTTAATATCTAACAGCAAAAATACGCTTTAATTAAATTTACAACGTACAAATTGGGTTTAGGACTCGCATTATTATGACGTGAACATGCAAATTGCTACACCATAATCGAATTGTAGGGACAATACTAAAAATAGAACTGTTTCAGTTTTATGAGGCCGACTGTTCATTTTGATACTTAACGGTGGACTGACGTTTATGAGCTGACCGTTTCTAATTTCCTGCGTTCGATAAGCATCAAATAGAAGTTTGGTTTCGCCCCTTTCATTGCCTTCGGCGTGTCAAAATCTAACGGCGCCGATCTCAAAAGTAAATTTTTCAATCTGTACGGTTAAGTTATGATTTTTGGGAGAATTTTATGATAATAAAATTGTCGAGCGGGATTTTATCCATAAACCGACGCCATCGTTGTAGTTGACGAGCGTTAAATTCATAGATTACATTTACGCCCGTTGTTGCTTTAATACGGAATCTAATCTCTTTAAAACCCTCACTCGCACATAATCCTAAAGTGATAAATTACTCACCTTCGAATCTTAGCGAAAAATTCAACGTGGCCGTATTAAGCCGTATCGTCGTTAAAATTAAGTACGGACGGGATACGTTCTGAAAGTGCAATTTTTCACGGTCCGCCGACCTTAATAAATAGATTCCGTTTAAGACCGTCGTAACACTATAACGTTATACAATTTAAAAATGAGGTGAACGCGAGACGTTCATTGTTTGGAGCAAAATCCCCTAAAGTCGGCTTTGATGATTTCAAAAGATTGCGACACATTTAATTTCGGAGATTGGCGACGAAAACTTATCATCTCCCCGAGAAGACAATACGGCGGTGTTTTTCATTTCCGAATTGCGATGCGGCGAACGGATGACGAATGCCCGATATATCCGGTCTTTGGACATCTTCAAATGGGTACCGAGACTAATGGAATTTTTCGTCGGTTCTAAAGTACGTTTGAACAAATTCGCCTCTTGCCGACAACAAATCCAATTTAATCAACATCGGAACTGCTTCTGCATAATAAATTACTAAGGCATTATCTAGACGGTACAAACTCATACGGCGACTAAGGTCGAAAAGAGAATTTCGAGCGTCGGTGACCGAATTTGAAACGAAAAGAGCGTTAAACAGAAATATTACCTCAACGTGAATCTATTTTTAATTTTGTTTTTAAGCAAACCAAAAATAGATTAAAATGGCGATTTTGGAAAGCTTTTAACGTCGCTTTAATCCGAAGTTTTTTCGCTGCCGCGCTAAACACTTGATAAATTTTGCTGTTGGAGTTATTAGCAAAGATGCTCACGGTTTAATCCCGGCAGCTTTAAAAGCTTTACGAAAGTGTATAAAAAAATCATTTGAATATAAATGTAAATTACTTACCGACGCTTAAATACAGTTGGGTACCGATTTCGTACGGCTCCCACGTAAGTCCCCTGTAGCGCGTCTTTTCTCTAGGCGTTCCATAGTCGGGTATATCCTTGTGAACGCCGGGACCGTTCGGATCGCCGCTCTTCGCGAAGTTGCTGAAGAAGTTTAGCACCGCTTCGGCGACGCCCATGTCTTGCCTGCTGAAGTTCTGTGGGAAAAACGGCATCCCGCCTACTAACGGCATGCCTAAGATGTAGGTCAGGTCCTTGCCCCTTACGCTACCGAGCCTCTGAAATTATTTTTAAAGTTAACTAGCTGAGAGATTTGAGATAAATAAGAGGAGAATCCTGTTTAAAGTATACGCGAAACGCGTTTGTCACGTAATTAAGGTAAACAAGAGACACTTTAAACAGAATTACGCATTCATTTTTATCAAAATGGCTTCTCTGGGAAGGTATCTCCAGAGAAAACAATTTAAAAATGATTACTTTGCTAAGCGTAACGAAATACAACCACTCACTTATACTTATGACAATAATAAGCTAAACAACGACCATAAAACCCATTTATGTGCAAAGAAGACGAGGAATTTGACGGTATCATGGAAGAACGAGAGCAATGCGAAACTAAAATCTAAAATGAAGTCGAAGATATATATAGTGCTATTCATTAAGAAGTAGACATGTACATTGTTTTTCCCTATGTCTACTTTTAAAACACAAAATCTCTTCCGAAGGGCGCCTAATTTTATGCAACCAAAATAACCAAATAAGGATCTGGCTGGCTAATTAATTTGAGTATTGTTGCTTTATTGGCTTCCGTATTGTCAATTGGTATAGTGCCGGAAACAGATGTTTATTTGTTTTAAAAAGATATTTTAGATGCATCAAATTATGCGCCCCGCAGAAGAAATTTGGGGTTTTAAACCAAGACATAGGGAAAAACACACGTAAATTTTAATAAATATCACTGTAGAAGGCTTACTAACGATCCGAAGAAAGCCGAAGCCTAGATAGCACCCCTAGAAAAGTATTGTAAAGAACGTTCCAGAAACCCCGACAGACATCGAGGCACCATGAAAGTTTAGTCATCGGCGATAAGGGCGAAATCTTTCCGGAAAAAATGACGTGTTTATTCCCATTCCAAATCATTCTCGAACAATTGTCGCTTACTACGTAAGTAAATTGTAGTGTATTTCAGTCAGTTCCAAGATCGACGCGCTTTAGTTAGGGTGTAAACAATGAGGGATAAATAATAATTAAAATTTTACAAGGTTTTCCGTGAAAAAGTGGTAGGTACCCAACGTGTTCCCGCATATTATATTCTCGTCATACAAGATTTGCAAACCTAAAAAAACGTTGAAGTATTTGGTGTTTGGGCGTTGGAAAAAGTCCATCACGTCCCCACCTTACCCAGACAAATTTTACAAGTTGAAAGTGAAATTGTAAGTGTTTTTGTGAGTCTTAAAGTGGATTTTAGACGTGTTTATTAATCTCTAAGACCCAGTAAAAGTTTTTTAAGTGCTTCAAAAGGTTTTTACGAGACTCTTCTAAAGGGTTTAATGGCCTTTAAGAGCTTTTAATACTCATTAAAAGAATTTAATATATGAATCCTGAAAACTTGTAAAAAATCCACATTGGCAGCTAGTAAAAAGGATAGGAGAGTTCTGGCCCAATTTTCGGGTCAAATCCCATGTATTTTCTTATGGGAAATTCTAAGGTCTATCTTGGCTGCTTTTGAGCACTCCCAGTCAGTGCACATGCGCGCCCCACCCCTTTGCGCAGCGCCATCTTAGATCCCTTCATTTTGGATCCGCCATTTTAGATTCTGCCATCTTGGATCCACCATCTTGGATTCCGCCATCTTGGACTCCTCAAGTTCTCGTGGACTTCTCAGAATCCCCAAGTTTTTACGGATTCCAAGAAATGCACAAGAATCCAAGATGGCGGAATCCAAGATAACGTTGCGAAAAGGGGTGGGGCACGCATGCGCACTGAACGGAAGTGCTCAAAAACAGCCAAAATGGACCTTAGAATTTTCCATCGCCAATGTAAAAGCAGCCTAAAGGTGTGTAAGAGTCCTTATCAGAATCTTTAAAAGATAAAATTCAATGGTCCTTTCCCTATACATAATAAATTCTACGGACGCTGGGGCATACTCCATACCCCCAGAGCTACATTTTTCTTCGAAACGTTCAGTTTTAAGGACTCTGTCGTAATTTTTCATAGAGAACACCGTATTTTCCTCAAAAAACCAAAAACACTAAATGTGTTGGGGGATAATGTACAACCGGGAGGGCTGGGGGGTATTGAATACCCCCCAGAGAAAAAGAAAAATGTAATATTTATTTCCCTACACTTATCATACGATTTTCGGGCGCTGGGGGTATGATGGGGGATATTCCAGACCCCCCAGAGCTGCAGTCTCCCCCAAAACGTTCACCTTTAAGTACACTGTCGTAGTTTTTTATAGAGGACACCGTATTTTCCTCAAAAAGTCAAAAGCACTAAAAGTGTCGGGGGGGTAATGTACAATCGGGGGGTCTGGGGGGTATGGAATACCCCCCAGGAAAAAAAAATTAATTGTCTATTTCCCTACATATATAATAAAATTTTCGGGCGATGGGGGGGTATGATGGGGGATATTCCAGACCCCCCAGAGCTACAGTCTTCCCTTTAAGTACCAATAGAGGACACCGTATTTTCCTCATCAAAAGCACTTGTAATGTACATCGGGGGGTCTGGGGGGTATGGAATACCCCCCAGTTTTTCATAGAGGACACCGTATTTTCCTCAAAAAGACAAAAGCACTAAATGTGTTGGGGGATAATGTACAAGCGGGGGGTCTGGGGGGTATGGAATACCCCCCAGGGAAAAAGAAAAATTTAATATTTATTTCCCTACACTTATACGATTTTCGGGCGCTGGGGGTATGATGGGGGATATGACGGGGGATATTCCAGACCCCCCAGAGCTACAGCCTCCCCCAAAACGTTCACCTTTAAGTACACTGTCGTAGTTTTTCATAGAGGACACCGTATTTTCTTCAAAAAGCCAAAAACATTTGGGGGATAATGTAAAACCGGGGGGTCTGGGGGGTATGGAATACCCCCCAGGGAAAAAGAAAAATTTAATATTTATTTCTCTACACATATCATACGATTTTCGGGCGCTGGGGGTATGACGGGGGATATTCCAGACCCCCCAGAGCTACAGCCTCCCCCAAAACGTTCACCTTTAAGTACACTGTCGTAGTTTTTCATAGAGGACACCGTATTTTCTTCAAAAAGCCAAAAACATTTGGGGGATAATGTAAAACCGGGGGGTCTGGGGGGTATGGAATACCCCCCAGGGAAAAAGAAAAATTTAATATTTATTTCTCTACACATATCATACGATTTTCGGGCGCTGGGGGTATGACGGGGGATATTCCAGACCCCCCAGAGCTACAGCCTCCCCCAAAACGTTCACCTTTAAGTACACTGTCGTAGTTTTTCATAGAGGACACCGTATTTTCCTCAAAAAGCCAAAAACACTTGGGAGATAATGTACAACCGGGGGGTGTGGGGGTATGGAATACGCCCCTGGGAAAAAGAAAAATTTCATGTTTATGTCCCTATACATCTCATAAGATTTTCTGGCGCTGGGGGATATTATATACCCAAAGCACTAAATATGTCGGAGGATAATGTACAACCTAGGGGTCCATACCCCCCAGGGGAAAAAATGTAATGTTCATTTCATTATAAATATCATTTTCGGGCGCTGGTGGAATAATGGGGATATCCCAGCTTTTGTGGGTCTCTAACTGTTTATTTCTTATAAGCGAGTCTTTAGGCGCATTTGCGAGTCTTCAATGGTCTCTAAAAATTTTATAGGCTTAAACACTATTTAAAAGAAGCGAGGTATTTATAAATCTTTGAAGATCTATAAAAGGTTTAAATCTTTAATCTTTAAGACTATTTGAAAGCTTCGCCTGGGGGGAGCTGAAGCACTCAAAGAGCTTTCGTGGTCTGTTGCGTTTTAAATAACTTTAATATTTCACAAAAGTCGCATACTCAGAGCTTCACGTCATCTTAACGATTCTAAAAGTGTTAGAGACCTAAAATACCTCAGTCTTAACACCTAAATGAGATTATGTATTTTTTCAAAACAGACTAAAAAATCGAGGAAAACTAGGAAAACAAGAAAATCGGCGGACATAAAAGCAAGGAAGGCGAGGGGTCAAAAGAAGATAAAAAATCGAGGCAGTGGGCGAAATCGAGTCAAGGAATTTGACGGTGTCGAGTGAGAGAGAAAATACCAAAGACGAAACACGAGAAGCCAAGGGTTCGAATTAGGTGAAAAGACGAGGGTGTTGGGTGTCTATAAAAACCGATGAACATACAAGAAAGTAAAGCAAACTAAAAAAGCTATGAAGCTGATATTGCGGTCGAGGTGTATGAACACTAAAGCCATGGAAGGTGAAGAGTGGAAGAGCGAAGTATTGGAAGGAACCGAAGATGTCGAAATAGTGAAGGAGGCTTTCTCTAGCTCTCTTTACCATATGAAGCCACATCACCAGCTCACTAAAAAAATGATACTGATACTTCCGCATCCATATATTTTGACGTAGCTAACTTGTACGGAATTTTAAATTTAAGCGTTTTAAAATACTCACCTGTGGATAATCACTATCTTTCGTTTGATAACCGAAATGAAAAAAATACGTCTTCGCCCCTCTTCGGGCATGTAAATATCCTACACGTATTAAGGGGGACACGGTGTGGCCATCACTGAGTGCTTCCATAGTGGAGTCCCTAATATTAATCGGATGCTGAATGGGCTTATCCCAGTCCGTATATTCGTTTCTAACTGCCGAGAAGATTTCGTTTAAATGATAAACGTAAGCGTTACGAATATAAGTCCTAAGCACGCGATTACGTTCCTCCTCCTCGAAACCGTACTGAATGTCAGTAGCACTAAAGTCATTATAACTTTCGGTAGTTGTTGTACCTAGCAGAACTTCGCAAGTTATAAAATTTTCACTCGCGTGCTCCATCGAGTATTCAGGATCGGGCGTTTCCAAGTCGATCGGCAACGAGGGCGCAATTCTCGGCATAAATCTGACAATTTCGATGTTGACGTCTAGCAGCGCCTGGACCGGCCTGAGAAAAATAATTTATAAAGCGAAACTTTTTAGATTAGGCGCGCACAGACCTGGATCGTAAGCAGGGCGCGATGTCTTCGTCTTCACCCTCCGCCGAAGACAGACAGCCTGTCTGTTGGCCGACGCTAATGCGGATACTGTCAGGATTGTGTATGGTCGCCCAGGGACTTAAAGCGGCACCACTCAAAAGGACGACACGTTGAAAGAGTCCTTGAAATTTACACTTCAAATCGGACACGTACCGAGCCACCACTTACCTTTGGATTTCGGCGAGACGAGCAAAAAATTTGCCAAAGCAGCTCCCGTGTCGTGTCCAATTAGCGTCACTCGCTTATGATCGCCGCCGAAAGACGCGATATTCGCCTTTATCCACCTCAACGCTGCCGCAATATCCTTGATGCCGAGATTACCTCCGGACGAATCGGACGTGTCGACACCGACACGAGTTTTTAAAAAACCTGCAACAATACGCGAAGCAATTAATCACCGCGTTACGTAAATGAACAGTCGGGAATTTCGAAGTTCGGCAACAACGTGGTTTATTTAAAAATGGCCGAACAAAAAACTCTTTGATCGTCAATTTGGTACGAAATAAGATTATGGAAATATAGCTTCAAGTGCAAGCTGTAAAATTTGACGTTCCAATTAACACCAAAGGCATTTCTAATTTAACTTAAATTAAATTTTAAGTTATTTAAATGAAACTGCTCGAGAACGTAACGAAATACGCTACGCAAATACAATGCTGTTTAATTTGTGCACTGTTACAGTACAGTGTCACCAACTGCAGTAATATTTTAATTAATTAAATTAACACTGTGGAACATTGACGAACCGCAATGGTTATTCCCATCCAAATATAATTCCACCAAGCCTGGCTTCTCATCTTGATAGCTTGTTAGAGCTACCTATACCTAATAAAATCAATTTTTCCGAATATAAAAACGTAATCAAATATGTCGGGGCGGAACCGAAAAAAAATGTCGATATAAAACCGTAAGATTTTATAATTCAAGTGAGATGTTTACGAATAACGCGGCGTCTCACAAAAGATTTGCGGAGCGAATTTCGTCTCGTACGTCGCCTTCCATTAAAGGTGTGTTCCGAAATTTAAATTCAATCTATTTTTCAATTTTGTACGTCTACGTGAGACGGAACGCACTCGAAAATATGGGCTCATTACGTACGTCGCGTATTTACCCCTTTCGTTTTGATGGCTCCTAAAATTTACATCATTTATCCTTAAAAGCCGCGCGGTGCGTGTGGCGCACTAAATTTTTATAACGACCCCATTCCGCCATTACGACCCTATACACGTTTTTTTTCGGAAGGCTCGGTACTCGTGCCGTTCCCTTACGTTGAACCAATGAAAAATGAACTATAAGTTGTGGGAAAGTGGTTGGTTGAGAACGTTGTGGATTGTGTTAGTGTGACAATTCTCGAGTGAGTCACTTTACATCGTAGATTTTATACGAGCGAGCGTCGTTAAAGCGTGACAATGTTTTAATCGTGCACTTAAAACTTAATTTAATGACTTTGCTTTGGTGGCAAGATGGCCCATATTTTACATAAACATGACGCAATTACTTTCTCCGCAATTATATTTCCATATAAAACACTGTAGAGAAGAGTATGGTCCCTCAGCTCGTACTAATCTTCCTTTGTTTCCCGACTTGAAGTTCAATTTAACAGTTACAGTAGCGCATTTTCTTGATAAATTTCGAATAAAACATAAAAAATTTACGGACACGTTTCGACAGCCAAGCCTTCATCATCAGCAAATAAATACAATTTTGATACGGATGAGTACAAAAGAGTGACTTGACAATTTTGCCGACCATTTTTGGGATATACTGGCGCTGTGTTAAGTTTTCTCTAATTATTCTACTTTCAAGCTTCGCTGACGCTATTTGCGGATTTATCTTACAAAAGTTTTAAGACCGTTTTGCGATTTTTTTTCTTACTTCTTACTTTTGATTTACGATTTACTTCATTTTTACCTTCCGGATTGTGCTTTCGACATAGTGTAACCGCTGAATTTTGGATTTTTTCAATATTGCGCAAGAAAAATTAATTTGTAAAGGTCCAGCGCCATTTAGAGATCAGAAAGACGCGCAGATATTTCAACTTTACCGGCAGAACTACCCGCCATTTTAGTGAAACCAAACAGCTGAGATTTACCTGGTATTGAATTTTAAAGTATTTTTCTTAAAATTTAATATCACATACAGATGTAAGGACAATTAGAAGTCGAACTAAATTTTACTTTTGCTAGGTTAAAGTCATTCGAGATATTGAGTCATTTTAAATATTAATTGCAGTTCTCAGTATACGATTAGCCTCAGTGTCAAACGTTACATTGCTAATCGAGATGTTTTGTACAGCGCGATCATTACCTTTTGTTTGTTGTGTTTTTGTCTGTTTACAGGTTTTCAGTATACGCGCCCTTCTTCGGCTCAACAAGGCCGTTGCGACCTGTAGTTCAAATTTTGCTATTTTCGTCGGTTTCCCCTAGTTTAACGTTTGATTACATATTTTGTAACAGGAGTGTATAATTTTCGAAGAGCTGTTTTAGCTCCTAATATCGAGGTATCTGTTTGAACATTCTTGTAAAATTTGCCTGGCTAACAGGAGAACATGATGGTTGTGGAGGTCTTTTCCCATTACCTACAAACATCTTTCAACGCCAAACTTCGTTCGAGATTTTTACTGTATCAGAGGAATATAACGTGCTAGGAAGTGTTTCTGCTCCTAATACACGAGGTATCGACTAGAATATCCTTGTAAAGCTTGCATGGCTGTCAGGAGAACGTGATGGTTGTGGAGGTTTTTTCCCATCACCCACAAACATATTTCAAAACCAAATTTCGCTTTAAATTTATACAAATTTTGAAAATTTGAATTTTTTGAAAATGGGAGGGGGTGGACATACGTTCTACTTTTCGCGGTATTACTCTAATGGACCAAAAATAAAATCCGTATATATTACAGTTTTTAAGCAGTAGGCCATGGATTCATGAAGATTCTGTTATGTTTATTGTATCCATGGTAACTAAGGCAGCCAATACCAATCAATAATGAAAATTGTTCACGGTGGAAACATGTGATTTCAAAATTTTGAAAAATATGATCCAAAGCACTCTTCTCAAAAAATTAAAAATTGTATTTTTAAGAAAAATGTGATACTGAACCACCATGTGTGATATATCGTTGTAAAGAGAAAAAAAGACGTAATCTCAAAATGTGAAAATTCAAAATGGCGCCCATAAGAAAAACTAAAGTTACCACGTGTTTCTCAGTCATCTTGAAAGTTATTAAAAACTGGATGCCATATTTGAAATCTCCATTAAAAAGTGTCCGAATAATGTGTTAATTAGAAATGTCTACTACGATTAGTTTATCATGAAAAAATTAAAAATGAAAATCAGACATTTTCGTTTTTTTGCGATATCTTCAAAACTGTTAGATAGATATTTCAAATTTTTTTTCAGATTCTTATTCAGCCCGAAAATTAGCAACTTTGCCCCCATTTAACCAACCTTCTATCTCTTAGGATAAGTGATATCCCCATAGTGGCACTCGAAAAATGAACACCGTGTATATAATAATATTTAAAAAAATATATAGGTTGTGGTATATCCATGTAATAAGGAAACATAATCCAAAAAGTTAACGTTCATAATATACAGGGTGTTGCATTAAAAATTGGGTCAAATCTCAAAAATTGGGGTCCAAACAACTTATCTAGAATGGTCCTGTTTATGGTATTAACAGCTTCAAAGTGGCACATGGTCGCGAAAACCGCAAATGCTTCCAGAACTAACCTCCTCAGTTCTATTTTCGATGCAAAATCGAAAAATCCAATTTTTTCAAAATATTTCAAAATCCAAAAAATGTTTCACTGATTTCTAAACGACCTTTGATTGCACGACTTTTCTCCCATTTAACCAAATTTGTGTCTCTTACCCTCTTTCAAGAATGTCCATAACGGCCCTCCCTATGTTACTGTTAATTTTGATATACGAAAGAGTGTCCTTTTGTTGATAATGAACAAACAATGCAAATTAATTGATACACAAGACCTATACAGGGTGAGTTTTTTTCGGTGACAGGCATGGGGATCTCGCGGAGAAAGGGAAAATAAATATAGCGGAATGATGGTGAAGATAGGTATATGCGACAATAGTAGTTTCGTATATCAAAATTAACAGTAACATGGGGAGGGCCGTTATGGACATTCTTGAAAGAGGGTAAGTAAGAGACACAAATTTGGTTAAATGGGAGAAAAGTTGCGAAATCAAAGGTCTAAGAGGACAACGTTTAGTGTGGTTTTGCAAATATTTTGAAGAAATCGGATTTTTTTTCTTCTAGAGCAAAACCAACGACACTTCTTCGCGGCAACTTCAAATGCCCTTTAGGCCAGAGTTGTTAATTTTTTAATTCGACATTTCACCTTTGCGAAACCATCATCTTGAACCATTTTGATTTTAATTCATTGATGTGGTTTAATTGCGGTGTAGCTTTTTTTCGGTTTACTTAAGAAAATTTCTATTACAGAAGGGTTTTTGACGGTTACTTTTGTCAAAGTGTTGGCCAAGTGTATGATTTTTGCTCATAGTATAGATTTTAGTCATTGTGTCGTCGTTCGGTTGTGCGCTGGCGAAAAATTAGTTTTCTGTGGGCCGCCCGTTTGGTTTGGTTTGCGGAAAATAATTGGAGTTACCTACTTGAATTTTGTTTGATTGTTAGCTGTGATATTTTGGGGACCACATTTATTAAAAAGTTATATATTATTCGTGCAACCATATTTCGCTTGTTGGTTCTGGCTCTGAATAAACATAAGTTGGCGTTGCAGGTAATTTCTTGCAATCCGTATACATATACAGGGTGGCCCATTGAAAACTAAACAGTAGTATTTTCAGTCAGTTAAAAGTGCACAATCGAAAACGCTATCCTTCACCTCAAGATTAACAGAAATGTTGAAATTCGTAACAGTAAAAGAGGGGTGATAAAAGGAAATTCATGAAAACCACGTCAAAGCGTAGGCAAATAGGCGTAAACGCAAAACAGATAATTATTTCCCAAACAATAAACGGTCTCCTCTTCTTAGAAATAATACCCCAATTAATAATAAACTAAGGTAGAAAAAAGACGACTGACGAAACCGATCTTTTTTGCCGGCGCGAGGGAGGAAAACCTCTTTATGTTTGTAACACAATAGCGAGCGGTATTGCTACTGCTCGCGGAACGGTAGCTAAATTTGATTTATGTTATTTTATAAGCCGGGGGTTCTAAAGAAATTTGCTTTGGAGAGCGAAGAAATATGGAAGGGTAACCTTTCATCGACGTATTTCATAAATCGCAATTGATTGGATTCGTTTATTAATTGACGCGTTATAAACACCGCGGGGTCGCCCGCGCCCCCCTGACGTGGGACAGGTACAAAAGTCGCGGGGAT